AAAAGAAAGGGGAAAAAGGAGGAAGGAAAAAAAGAAAGAAGGGAGAAAGAAGAGAAAAGAAAAGAAAAGAATGGAAGAAGGAATGAAAAGAAAAAAAAAAAAAAAAAGGGAGGAAGGAAAAAAGGAAGAAAAGAGGAAGAAAATGGATAAGAAAACGGTGTGAATCGAGGAAGAACTGAACCGGGAAGACATTTGCGTTTCCTTTATGGGAAGGGAAAAGGGTCCGAGGAAGAGGGCGAGGGAGGAGGAGGAGGGGAAGTAGGAAGGGGAAGAAGGGAGGAGGAGGGAAAGAAGAGGGCGAGGGGAGGAGAAGAGGGGAAGTAGGAAGGGGAAGAAGGGGAGGAGGAGAAAGAAAGGGCGAGGGAGGAGGAAGAGGGAAGTAGGAAGGAAGAAGGGGAGGAGGAGGAGGAAGAAGAGGGCGAGAGAGGAGGGAAGGAGGAAGAGGAGGGAGGAGGAGGAAGGGTCCGAGAAGAGGGCGAGGGGAGGAGGAGGAGGAAGTAGGAAGGGGAAGAAGGGGAGGAGGAGGAGGAAGAAAGAGGAGAGGAGGAGGGGAAGGAGGAAGGGAGAGGAGGGAGGGAAGGGTCGAGGAAGAGGGCGAGGAGGAGAAGAGGGCGAGGGAGGAGGAAGAGGGCGAGGGGAGGAAAGCGAGGAGGAGGAAGGGAGGAAGAAGGGGGGCAAGAAGGGGAAGGAGGAAGGGGAGGATGAGGAGAAGAAGAGGGAAGGAGAAGGGAGGAGGAGGAGGAAGGGGAGAAGAGGGCGAGGGAGAAGGGGAAGGGGAGGAAGGGGAGGAGAGGCGAAGGGAGGAAGAGAGGGGAGGGAGGGGAAGAGGAAGGGGAGGAGGAGGGGGAAGGAGAAGGGGAGGAGAGGAGAAGGGAAAAGGGGATGGAAGGAGAGGAAGGGTCCGAGGAAGAGGCGAGGGGAGGAGGAAGGGAGGGAGGGGAAGAAGGGAAGGAGGAAGGGGGGATGAGGAGAAGGAAGAGGGAAGAGGAAGGAAGGGAAAAGGGTCCGAGGAAGAGGGCGAGGGGAGAAGGAGGAGGAAAGAGGAAGAGGGAAGTAGGAAGGGGAGAAGGGAGGAGGGAAAAGAAGAAGGGAAGGAGGAAGGGAAGACGGGGAGAGGAGAAAGAAGAGGGGAAGGAGGAAGGGGAGGAGGAGGGGAAGGAGGAGGAGAAGGAGGAAGGGAGAGGGAGGAGGAGAAGGAGGAAGGGGAGGGAGAGAGGAAGGGTCCGAGGAAGAGGGCGAGGGGAGAAGGAGGAGGAGGAGGAAGGGCCCGAGGAAGAGGGCGAGGGGAGAAGGAGGAGGAGAAGAAAGAGGGAAATAGGAAGGGGAAGAAAGGGAGGAGGAGGAAGAAGAAGAGAGGGTGAGGGAGGAGGAAGAGGCGAGGGAGAGGAGGAGGAGGAGGAAAAAAAGGAGGGGGGGGAAAAGAGGGAAGAGAAAGAGCTGAGAAAAGGAAGAGAAGATAGGGAGAGAAAAGAGAAAGAACAAAAAAAAAAAAAGAAAAAAAAAAGAGAGAGAGAAGAGAGGTAAACAAACGATAGATAAAAAAAAAAAAAACACACACACACAGACAAGAGACACCACGCGGATCCGAAGACGGGGACAAAAGCCAACAAAGAGAGCAGCTCCTCCTGTAATTGGCGCCGCAGGTACCTCCCGCTCTGACACCTGAACATCAACTAAAAGATTTCCTTCGCGCTTCCGAGTAAGGGTGTGGGGGTGGGGAGGGTGGGGTGGGGTGGGGTGGGGTGGGGTGGGGTGGGGTGGGATGGGGTGGGGTGGGGTGGGGTGGTTGGTGGGTGGGGAGGGTGGGGGGTGGTGCTAGGAGAGAGAGAGCGAGAGAGATAATGAGGAAGAAATCGAGGGAGTATGGGAAGGGGAAGAAGAGAGAGAGAGAGGGGATCGGGAGGAGAGGAGAGGTGTGGGAGGGGAGGGAGGGAGAAAACGAAGGAGATTGGGAGAGGGGGAAGGGGAGAAAGAGAAAGGAGGAGGGGAAAGAGGAGAAAGAGGGAGAGAATGGGAGAGGAAAAATGGAAGGCAGCGGGAGGGAGAAGAAGAAAGGAGGGATGGAAGAAATGAAAAGGAGGACTGAAGAGAGAGAGAGTTAAAGGAAGAAAAGAGAAGGAAAATAATAAAAAGGAGAACAACACAGAATAAAGACACAAACCCACACACAGATAAAGACACACACAGACATAGCCTAGAATAATAACAACAACATTCCCAATACATAAGAACCAGCAGGGAAAAGAGAGCAACAGAATAAACAAGAAAAAAAAATCAAGCAAAAAAAAGGAAAAGAAAGAAAAAAAAAAAAAAAGAACGGCACAGGATTTAATTCGATTCCGAAAAACAAAGAAATGTTTATTCAGGAACAATTACCAAGCTCGCCAAAAAACAAGAGAGAAATGTGTCGGTCGGGTCTCCACCAATTGGCCAAAATGCTATTGATTTAAGAGAGCCGTCAGTCACAAATGAACTACAGTGAGCACGCTGCCTGGGCGCCAACTACAACTCACGCTGGCTTTGTCTACAACTGCAACTGCTGCTGACTTATCAACAACTACAATTGCAACTGATGCTGGCTTTATCTACAGCTGCTATGAATGAGATGGCTTTGTCTACAACTGCAACTCATGCTGGCTTTGTCTACAACTGCAGATGAGATGGCTTTGTCTACAACTGCAACTCACGCTGGCTTTGTCTACAACTGCAGATGAGATGGCTTTGTCTACAACTGCAACTCATGCTGGCTTTGTCTACAACTGCAGATGAGATGGCTTTATCTACAATTGCAACTGATGCTGGCTTTGTCTACAACTGCAGATGAGATGGGCTTTGTCTACAACTGCAACTCATGCTGGCAGATTGAGCAACTTCTGGGCTTTATCTACAACTGCAGATGAGATGGCTTTGTCTACAACTGCAACTCACGCTGGCTTTGTCTACAACTGCAACTCACGCTGGCTTTGTCTACAACTGCAGATGAGATGGCTTTGTCTACAATTGCAACTCATGCTGGCTTTGCCTACAGCTACAACTGATGCTGACTTTATCTACAACTACGACAACTGGGTTTACCTACAAAACTATAACTGCAGTTAAAGTGACTTTATCTACGTCTCTTTACGTACAACCACAGCTATTTTCCAGACTTGACTCTAACAACTGACTTTATCTACAAATATATCCGACTTTATATACAACCACAACCGACTCAACCTACACCACAAGTGCCTATCCACAACCAAAACACTCTCCATCCACACCTACAACCACAACGGAATTTTACAACCACAACAGACTCCACCAACACCTACAACCACAACCGACTCCATCTACAACCACAACCGAAATTCACAACCACAACAGACTCCACCAACACCTACAACCACAACCGACTCCATCTACAACCACAACCGAAATTCACAACACAACAGACTCCACCAACACCTACAAACCACAACAGACTCCACCAACACAACCACAACAGACTCACCAACACCTACAACCACAACAGGACTCCCATCCACAACCCCAACTGTCTATCCACAACCACAACCGACTCCACCTACAACCCCAACTGAACTCACAACCACAACTGCCTTTATCTCCAGCTGCGACTGCTGACTTCCCCCGCCGAACTGCAGCCGCCGGGAACCGAAGGGAAATGACCCATTATATAAATAGCCAGGGATCAGACGCCTTAGTTTCCACTGTGTCCTTTCTATCTTATCTATCTCTGTCTTTTGTTTTATCTCTCTCTTGTTTTTTTTGTTTTGTCTGTCCTCTGTCTTTTGTTTTGTCTCTCTCTGTCTTTTTGTTTGTCTCTCTCTCTCTCTGTCTTTTGTTTTGTCTGTCTTCTGTCTTTTGTTTTGTCTGTCTGTCTTTTGTTTTTGTCTGTCTGTCTTTTGTTTTGTCTCTCTCTCTGTCTTTTGTTTTGTCTCTCTCTGTCTTTTGTTTTATCTGTCTCTGTCTTTTGTTTTGTCTCTCTCTGTCTTTTGTTTGGTCTGTCTCTGTCTTTTGTTTTGTCTATCTCTGTCTTTTGTTTTGTCTGTCTCTGTCTCTCTCTCTGTCTTTTGTTTTGTCTCTCTCTCTGTCTTTTGTTTTGTCTCTCTCTCTGTCTTTTGTTTTATCTGTCTCTGTCTTTTGTTTTGTGTCTTCTGTCTTTTGTTTGGTCTGTCTCTGTCTTTTGTTTTGTCTATCTCTGTCTTTTGTTTGTCTGTTTCTGTCTCTCTCTTTTGTTTTGTCTCTTCTCTCTGTCTTTTGTTTTGTCTCTCTCTTTCTTTTGTTTTTGTCTATCTTTATCTTTTGTTTTGTCTGTCTCTCTGTCTTTTGTTTTGGTCTCTCTGTTTTTTTGTTTTGGCTGTGTCTGGTCTGTTTTGTCTGTGTCGTCTTTTGGTTTTGTCTTCTCTCTGTCTTTTGTTTTGGTCTGGTTCTCTTGTTTTTCTAGTCTCTGTCTTTTGTTTTGTCTCTTCTGTTTTTGTTTTGTCTCTCTCTCTGTCTTTGTTTTGTCTCTGTCTCTCTGTCTTTGTTTGTCTCTCTCTCTGTCTTTTGTTTGTCTCTCTCTGTCTTTTGTTTTGTCTCTCTCTGTCTTTTGTTTGTCTGTGTCTGTCTTTTGTTATGCTCTGTGTCTGTCTTTTGTTTTATCTATCTCTGTCTTTTGTTTGTCTCTCTCTGTCTTTCTTTTGTGTCTTTTGTTTTGTCTCTCTCAGTCTCTCTTCTGTTTTGTTTGTCTCTCTCTCTCTGTCTTTTGTTTTTGTCTGTCTCTGTCTTTTGTTTTGTCTGTCTCTGTCTTTGTTTTGGTCTGTCTCTGTCTTGTCTCTCTCTGTCTTTTGTTTGTCTGTCTATCTTTTGTTTTGTCTGTCTCTGTCTTTTGTTTTGTCTGCTCTGTCTGTTTTTGTCTGTCTCTGTCTTTTGTTTGTCTGTCTCTGTCTTTTGTTTGTCTGTCTCTGTCTCTGTCTCTGTCTTTTGTTTTGGTCTCTCTCTGTCTTTTGTTTTGTCTCTCTCTGTCCTTTTTTGTTTTGTCTGTCTCTATCTTTTGTTTTGTCTGTCTTCCCCTTGGGGGGGTCCCCTTGTTTAAAATGTTTTCCCTGGGGGTTGGGTTTCCTGGTTTTTCCCCCTTTTGTTTTAATCTATCGCGGTCTTTTGTTTTGCTCTCTCTATCTTTTGTTTTATCTATGCTGTCTTTTGTTTTGTCTATCTCTTGAGGGCTGGCTATTCAGCTGTCTATTTTGTTTTGGTCTACTTACTTTCTTTACGTTCGATTTGCTCTCTCTCTCTCTTCTCTCTCTCTCTCTCCTCTCCTGTCTCTCTCGTCTGCTCTCTCTCTCTTCCTATCTATAGTATTTTTGTCTTTAGACTTTTCTTTCCTAATTAATCTGTTTTAAATTCGATCTATTCTCTTATTTCCTCTCATTATCTGTCGGTTTCTCTATTTGTGTATTAAATTATTTCTATCTCTATCTATCGATTTCTCTCTCTCTTCTCCTACTCGTCTCTCATCTCTCCTTCTCTCCTCTCTGTCTCTCTCTCCTCTCTATCCTCTGTCTCTCTCTCTCTCTCTTCTCTCTCTCAACTCTCCTCTCCATCATCTCTCTCAGTTCTCTCTCTCTCTCTCCCCCCTTTAGCTATTTTTTTACCAAAAGCCATAACATCAAGAAATAATAATAATAATAAAAAAAATAAAAAATTATTAAAAAATAAAATATAAAAAAAAATAAATAAATAAAATCCTATCATTATCCTTCCACTTTCGACCCTTCCCTTAATTATTCACTCTGCAAAATACGTCTTGCACTTTTTTTTTTTATTCTTTTATTCCCCCGCGATTGTCACTAATGCAAACCTAATTTAATACCCACCAATTAAGCTAATTAATCTCCATAATCATATTTACAAAGCGCCGCTGCTCTTCTTGGGTCTTTTGTGTTTTTTTTTTTATATTTTTCTATTTTGTATTTGGATTATTTAGTTTTTCATTTATTTATTTATTTATTTTTTTTTATTTTTTTTTGTTTGCTTTTGTTGTTGTCCTCAAGATCATAATTAGTGGTTTTTGTCGGCGTATGAATGATGCTGGCGTTTTGCGGGCGGGACATATATATATATATATACAACGTCTTGTCGCTTCTACCGCACGCTTGCTGTCTTCGTTGTCTCTTCTCTCTCTCTTTCTTTCTTTCTCTATCTTCTTTCTGTTATTTTTCCTCCCTCTCCTCTCTCTTTTCTTTCTTTCTTTTCCTTTCCTCTCTCTCTCTCTTTCTTTCTTTCCTCTCTCTTTCTTTCTTTTTTCCTCTCTATCTCTTTCTTTCTTTCCTCTCTCTCTTTCTTTCTTTCCTCCCCCTCCCCTTCTCTCTCTCTCTCTTCGAGATCTCTTCTCTCCTCCCTTAGGTTTGTATTCACTCTCTCTCTCTCTCTCTCTCTCTCATCTCTCCTCGTCTCTCTCTCTCCATTCAAGAAGAGAATAAAACCTCCATGAAAAAGAAGATAAAAATGAAAAAAAAAAAGAAGCAAAGAAGAAAGAAAAGAAAGAGAGAAGGAGAAAGAAGAAGAAGAAGAAATATAAGAGAAGAAGCGAAGCCACCGTCAAAGGCTTCGCACAAGCTTCATAAACTCCCATTCACAGCCAGTAATTGTTACCGAGAATTATGTTTTTTTCAACTCCGGAGACGTGTAAATTTGACGTCATTCTGGCAAATTTGTTCGGGGAGAATGGAGCTTAGGGGTCACTTGCCCCTTCTCCCCCCTCCTCCCTCCCCCTCCCCTCCCTCCGACCCCCCTTATCTACCACCCAACCCCCTCCTGGTCTCTCCCACCCCTGACTCCCCTCTCCCTGGTCTCCCCACTCCTGAGCCTCCGCCTGGTCTCCTCCCTACTCCTCATCCCTGGTCCTCCACTCCTGACCCCCCTCCCTGTCTCCCCACCTCCCCACTCCCTGATCTCTCCACTCTCCACCCCGGCTCCCACTCTCCACTCCCCTCCTCCACACCCACCATCCACTCCCCACAACTCACTCGATTTTTTTCCGTTTTCCTAAAGAACGACGGAAGGGAGGAAGGGTGGGAGGGAGGGAGGGAGAAGGGAGAGAGGGAAAGAAGGAGGTAGGGAGGGAAGGAGGAGATGGAGTGGGGTAAGGGAAAGAGGGAGTGAAAGAGTGAGAGAGGGATGGGAGGGATGTCAGTAAAAGGAGAGAGGGAGGAAGTAAAGAATGGAGGGAGTGGAGGGAAGGAAGGATTAGTGAGAAATGAGAGAGAAATATAACGCGAGGGAAGTGGGTGAGGCAGAGATTTAAGATTAAAAGATTTAAAGATTTAGTTTTAAATTCCATTTGTTACAAATGGATATTCTTTGCTGTGACATACTGTCTGTTTTATTTTGCCCAATCTCCCCCCTGTGTGCAAGGAGTGGCGGGGTTACAACTCACTGGCCGGGCGTGGGATTGAAATTGAACGCAGGTCCGCAAGATTGCTAGACCACAAGCTTACCTCGGCTGCACCAGCAGGA